GGCCGCGGGCCGGGGCAGGGGGCAGGCACGGGAGCGCGCGGGCGGGCCGGGGTCAGGGGGTGGTGACCGGTCGGTCGGGGTGTCCGGAGCTTTGTCCGCGGGCGCGGGGCCGTACGAGGGCCGGGGAGAGCGGGGGCTGCGGGTCGCGGGGTTCAACTAGTTTGGGGTCGAAGGGCAAGGCAGGCGCGAGACTGGAGCGGGTGCGTGGGAGCCGAGGGTCATTCTCCGGGGGAGGGGGCGGGAAGAGAAGGGGCTCGCCTTTCGGCCGCTGACCGGCCCCCGCTTCCTTGCGCCCATTGGTGCGGAGGCTGCAGCAGTAGCGAGCCACGGCTCCGGGGGAGACTGCCTGATTGTGGGGTTGGGGAACCAGAATTTGAGGGTTCGGGTCCCAGAGGAGCCTGTGTCCCGAGCCAGAGGGCCAGCCGGCATGCCCCTCCCACTCCGTCAGGTCTTTGTCCAGCGGCCCTTATGAGTGTGGGAGGGGGGTGGGGACAGGGTTCTTGGCCCGGAGATTCCCCTGCATTCGTGATGGGGCAGTGACAGGAGACTGAGGCCACTTCGGGCCCCTCTGCCCCTAATGACCACCCGCTTCATTTCTTCTCTTCTGGCCCAGGAGTGCATAGCTCCCATTGCAGTCAAGGTGTTAGAGGAAGCTGCAGTTACCTTCACTCATAGGCTACAGGCTACTAGGGAGACCCCCTGAGCTCCCAGTTCTTTACCGAGAGCCCCTAAACTTCTCCACTACAATGGCCCTCTCCTTGGCTACATACAGAGTCCCCATGCTAGAAACTCCCTCTTTAGAGGGTCCTCCGTAGTGTGTTAGCTTCACAGTCGGTGCTCAGCAAATGATGACCCCATTTTGCGGTCCCTCTGGGCTCTGTGCCCCTCCGGGGCGGAGAAGGCCTGGGAAGGGTCTGCGCGGGGGAGAGTGTGAGCGGCCTGGAACCTGCGCCCAGCGGCAGCCGGGAGCGCAGGGGTGGGTGGACGGGTGGGTGGGCTGTTAAAGGGACGGTCACTAAATCAGGATTAGGCCATGGGGCTGTCAGGCTGCCTGGCCCTGTCTCCATGGATACTTAATTTGGAGGAGAATAGAGGACGGAAGAATGTTTGTGTTGTCGTCCGCTCAGGGCTGCTGCGGCAGCAGAACGGGCCAGGCAGCGAGGAGTGCAGATCCGGTTCCAGTCCCACTCCAGGCTTCCGGAGGGGATCCTTTTCGGGTCCTGGGGCCCAGAGCCTCCCGGACTTGGAGTGGGCTAGGAGATGCCACGGTCCAGAGAACTCTGAACCTGCAGAGGGACCCACAGAGTCCAATCCGAAAAACCCTTGCACATCCCTCCTGGAAAGGGACTGGTTGGGGTTCCTCAGAGCTCCGTACCCGAATCTTCTCGTTTGGAAGCAATCTCTGAACTCTACTGGGCCCTAGCCCGCAAATGACGGACGCGCTGGGTGCCTCGGTGCGGCTGTGGGGCTGGGACCCCGCGGCAGCGCCGGGCCGGGACAACCGCGAGAGCTGCGGAGAAGGGGGGCGGGGCGGGACTTCCTGGAGTGGGCGAGGAAAGGGGCGGGGCCTGCCGGAATGGCTGGGCTGGACTGGTGACAGGTCTCGTAAATCCCTCTTCACATGTATTTAACACCATTTCATTTATTCCCACTTGATTCCATTGATGTGCACAGCAGCCATGCCAGTGAAGAGTCTTGTTGGGGGAAAGCCCTCTAGGGCCAAAGGGAATTGAGCTGTGTGGGGCGGTGAAGTTGCTTCTGGTGAGGCTCAGACAACCCTCATTGCTTGAGTGTGTGTGTGTGGGAGGGAGACCAAGAGGAGAATTGGGGGCCAGAGAGACACAGGGATGATTTTGGCCTTAGAGACCCTAAGGGATTGTCTGGCTGTGGAGTGGCACTGTGACCTGGGCTCATGATCCAGCAATTCTGGACAATTCTGTGGACAGTCCAGAGGAGAGCAGAGAAGAGGGACCCAGGCGGTAGTGTGGTGTTTCCAGAGCCTTCTGCCTTCCTCTTGGTCATCCATGGCCACAGCTTTTTATGGAGCAAGAATCCCCTCCCCTCCCCTGCCTGGGCTGCAGCTTTATTGCTGAGATCTCAGACTCTCTCCACACAATTTCACGCCTCTCTGCCTTTGCTCCTGCTGTTCCTTCAGCCAAATGCCTTCCCCATTGTCCTTGGCACAACCTCCTCATTCTTCAGGGTCCAACTTGGACCTTGTCACACTTCCTCCATGCAGCCTCCCCAGAGCCCCTAGCTCTTGGCACTTGCTCCTCCCTTGGGGTCCCCTTAGCCCTGCACCTGTGTCTCTCTTCAGCCTTTGTGGTTGAGTCCACAGTAGGCTTGGCCTGTTGGAGGACAGAGGCAAAACATACACTTCCTTGCACCCATCCCCACTAGGCCTGGGTGCTCTGTAGATAATTTGTTGGTGGATTCTGTAAGGGCTCTTAGCCAGGCAGCTTCCAAAGCATGCAATCTGTCCACTTCAGGCAAATATCTTTATACTCCTGGATGGGTAGAGACCCTTGGACAGACTCCTTCTCCCCCTCCTTTCTCCCTCCTCCTCACTAACCCTCCCCCACCCCCCAAGTTCAGAGAGGACTTTGCCCCTTCCTTTCCCCACAGACCGGCATTCTTTCCCTGCCATTATCATCCTGTTAAACAGAGAGGCCAGTCAGGATCCATATGGATCACATTAACAATTGCTTATTATCTGGGCCAAGACTCCCCCTACTCCCCACCCCCAGCTTCTGCTGCTGCAGTTGGACCCTTAGGAGCCTACCCTTCCCCCTACTCCCTGCATGTCCCCATCAGTGTGGGTTGGTCAGTCAGGGAGGGCAGGGGACAGGCTAGCACCCTTCCTGTGCTTCCTAGCAGGACTTTGCCTCTTCTTGACTTGGCTGGCAGTTAATGACTCCTTTACCCCGTTTAATGAAAACCGGGTTCCTCACTGGAGCACGGGTCAGTGACTGCAGCAGAGAGAGGTGGACCCCAGGCCCCAGCACACTTGTGGTCTGTGACATTGAGAGTCCCTACGTTCCAGTGGGCAGAGGCTGTGGGCAGGGGTGAGCCACATTGGGCAAACTGTGGGCTGCATTGGAATCTTCTGTGGTCTCAGCTCTGGGCTGGCTTTGCTTCCTCTGGGAACTGGTGGACTAGTAAGGGAGGTCAGGGCAGGTGACACTTTGCAAGGCTGTGTAGAATTGAGTCCCAAGCCTTGGACTGCAGGTAAAGAAGCAAGAAATCAGCATTTCCTGTGGTAGCAGCTAAGTTGGCTTAGAAGGATGAGAAATGGAGTATACCTACTTCTCACCAACTATCTAGTTATCTGACATTTCGTATTTATGACAGTAGTAAAAAATCTACTATCTGACTATTTTGCATATTAACCATCAAGCTGTTATGTCTGGCAGTAAGGAATGTTGAGATAGAAGGCCAGAGTAATACTGGTTGTGATAGTTAAGGTTATGTGTCAACTTGGCTAGACTATGATGATCAGTAATTTGGCAGTTATGTGATGATGTAGTCATCTTCCATTTTGTGATCCGAAGTGGTCATCCTCCATTTCTGCATAAAGCTGATTTTTGCATAACAACCTGATCTTTGGAAGCTAACCATGTTGATAAGTGAGGGGTGGGTGTATATATTTAAAGGCTTATAACCCAAGAATACTAGGGATAGAAAGGACCTTATAGACTACCTAGTATGGAGGTCTATAACTTTTTTTTTTATTTATAGACCCCTTAGAAGGAGAGAAGCTGTCCTAGAAACATGTGCTTCCTTCAGTCTACACCAGACTTAGCATTCTGTTGTAGAGGGTCCTTGGACCCTCTGAAGCCCCTCAGGACCCCACATCAAGAAGCTGTCATCCTAGTCCAGCCATCTCTGATGTGCTAGGGCAGAGTCAGGCCTACACCCAGCTTTTCTGGTTTCCACACTCAGTGTTGTCTGCAGGGCCTTATTACTGTCAGGGTGACAGTAGGAGCCAAGGGACCAGGGGTGGTGGATCAAGGTGCTGGGTCAGTCCTCACCCAGGAAGGGATCCCACTTCTGGGTCAGGGTCTGTGCTGGTCATCTCATTTCTGAGTTTGGGGACTGGAGAGAAGATGTCCAGGGATCTTTTTGTTTTAGGGTCTACTTGTCTCCAGGAACAAGGAGGAATGGTAAGAAAGCTGAGCTCTTCTTTGAACATTTTTGAGTCTCAAAAAATCATAGTTACCTTTTCAAAAACTCAATAAACCAAACTCACTGCCATTGAGTTGATTCTGACTCAAAGCAACCCAATTGGGTTTCCAAGGCTGTAAATCTTTATGGAAGCAGATTGCCCCATCCTTCCACAGAGCAGCTGATGGATTCAAACCATTGACCTTTTGGTTAGCAGCCAAATGCCTTAACCACTACTCCACCAGAGCTCCTCAGTTATCATTTATGTGGCACTTATTAAGCATTCTATATTTCACCTATTAAATAGGACCAGGAAGGATGCCCACCTCATATGCATTATTGTGAGGATAGCTCACTGAGGCAGGTGTTGGGAGCTGGAGACCTGAATTCTAATCTTGAGTGACTCTGAGGGTCTGTAAGGGCCCTGTCAGAAATGCTTGGGGTTTAATTTCTGTTGATGCTGACATTTCTCAGGTTTGTCTAACTCAGGAGAAGGGAAACCACTCTTCCTTTAGCACTGAAGTTTGGACAGGGTCAGTCTTTCAAATTCATCTTGGGGCCTGGGAGGGGCAGTTCTCAGTGAATGGGAGAGTTGGGTGATGCCGTTGGCCAAACTCCACTGGCTTTGGCTCTGCCCCTCATTTTACACTGACCTGCCTTGGCCCCCACCCTGTGGGGAAATGCTGGGTTGCAGTTACCATGTCACTAAGTATAACCCTGAGGAAGTGACTTAATCTGCTTGAGCCTCAATTTCTTCATCTGCAGAATGGTGATGAGGTCACTCACCGATGGTTTCAGATAGTCTGCCCCTTTGTCTCTGAAGTTATGCCTACCTCTGGTTAAGAACCCAGGGTCTCCAGAGAACCACCTCCCAGAGTAGGAGTGTAAGGGGACACGTGTTTGAAAGTTCTGTGTCACAGCAGGGCTGTCATTGAAGCCTCCTCCAAAGTAGAGCCAAGGTGGTGGCAGGGCTCAGGAGGTAGCTGAGAGGAGAGCTTGGCCAGTTTGGCTCCCTGTAGGAATCTGGGAGGTAGAAGCATTACCTCCCTCTATTTCCCCTCACTGCCTGGCTGTCTCAGGCCAACGGGTCCCCAGCCCACTGCTGGGATTAATCAGGGATGGATGGGACAATGTGATGTAGAGGCCACATTTTACTCTTAACAGGCCTGTTAAGCTGTTGAGCACCTGCTGTGTCCCAGCACTGTGTGAGGCCCTGGGTGCACCTCAGCCGGGCTCCAAGGTTGGGATTCCTCCACACACACTAGGCATCTATGCATCAGGCCCCTGTGAGCTCCCTTTCCAGCCATCAGCTTTCCACATGGTCAAGGAGGACTGGAGCATGTGTGCAGCCCTGGTGCTGCTCGCTTTGCTACACCCACCCAGCACGGCCACCTTTACTCTGGAGGGTTCTGGGTTCTGTTGGGACAGATGGCTCCCTGGGAGCTCTCTGCCCACCAAAGGGAACTGCCTCCTCCCAGCCAGCTCTTGAGAGAGGTGGCGTGTCATTAGTAGTGGGACATTTGGAGCTCTCCCTCCTCCAGGAAAGGGCCCCTTTTCCAGATGGACTGTGTCCTGTCAGGATGACCGTTCTTCCATTACCATTCTTACCCAGTCCTCTTCAGCCTGGAGTGTTGGGCTCTTGGCCCTGTGTTGGGAAAGATGAGGCTGTCTCAGTGGGGTGGGACAGACAGTTGGAGAATAGAGTGGGGCAGGTCAGGAGTTCAGTTTAGGACTTGTTGCGTTTGCAGTATCCTTTAGACGTCCAAGTGGGGGTGACTCAGAAAATGCTGAGGCCACTTCTGGCACCCTGCAGACAGGAGGGGAAGAGCCCTTCAATTCTGAATGTGTCTACTGCTAGAGAGCTCACCACTTCTAGAGAAAACCCACTTACTCTCAAAGCTAAGTTCTAAGGAGGGTGGTGGGATCTCTGGTAGCCTAGTGGCTAAGGCACTTGACTGCTAACCAGAAGGCTGGAGGTTCAAACCCTCCAGCCACTCTTCAGAAGGAAGATGGGGCAATCTACTTCCGTAGTGATACTGCTTCGGAAACCCAAGGAGGGGTCGCTATTAGTCAGGTCTGACTCGACGGCACATAACAACAATAACAACAACAAGAAGGAGGTGATGGGGAGGAAAGGCGTGGCTGCCCATGGCGACACAGTGTGCCACCTGACAGTCGTTCAAGTATCTGTTGATACTAGGTCCTCAGGAGTCTTGCTTCTCCAGAATAAATACTCCCTGTTCCTGCAGGCATGGTCTCCAGGAAACTCCCCATCCTGCCTTTCATTACCCTCCTCAGGTAAGGCAGGAACCCTAACCAGGGCCATGAACCCTAACCAGGGCCATGAATAGAGTCTGAAGCCAGACTCCCCAGACTGGGGGCACTTCCTACCTTGGGGACTTAGACAAATGAACTGTGCCTCAGTTTACTCATCTGTAACATGGGAACAACAGTACTAGATGAGTCAGAATCACCTTGATAGCAGTGGGTTTGGTTTAGTTTTGTATTACCTGAGGTTATTGTGAGGCGCAGGGCTTCACACATTCGAGGGGGTTAGGAATTCCAGACCGGAGCAGACAGACATAAGGAATTGCTGTGATTGTTCTGTCTTTTCCTAGTACCCTCCCCCCAATTTCTTTTTCTTTCTTTGTTCCTTTGGCCCTGCGGGTGTGGGGGCCACCCCCTTGGGGACAGCCCTGCCCACTCCCGCCCAGGTAGACCGGCTGGGCTGCATAGCTGGAGTTACTCAGCTCAGCACCCCCAGGGCTGGAAAAGGGATAGGAGGGGGCCAAGGCAGTCACTGGGGGAAGCCTGGTGGGCTGCCTGGGCCTGTTTCCTTGCCTTCTGTCAGGCCTGGCTCTGCGGGGGCGTGTCTCCCAGCCTGCTCCCATGCAGTTGTTGTTACTATGCATAGCGACCCCTCCTTGGGTTTCCGAGGCAGTATCACTACGGAAGTAGATTGCCCCATCTTCCTACCGGAAGTAGATTGCCCCATCTTCCTACCGAGGAGTGGCTGGTGGGTTTGAACTGCCAGCCTTCTGGTTAGCAGTCAAGTATCTTAGGCACTATGCTACCAGAGCTCCCATGCAGTAGAGGGGCATATTTGGGGACATAGGATCACTAAGACCTTAACGCTTAAGCCTCTGGAGGTCACATGCCACCCAAACTGACTCAATTCAACCTCGGATCCTAAAGCTGGTTGGGGGAGGACAATGTCGGCCCAAGAGCAGATTCTAGGTTCTTGAGCTGTGATACTTGCTCTGTGGTCCAGGACCCCTGAAGAATTTGGATGGGATGGTATTCCAGTGTTACTGCTTTCCTTTGTAGTCCCATGTATTTAATTTTATACATTTTAAAGTATTTTGAGAACAAGGCCACAGCTTCACCAGATGGCTTATGGCCCAAGACTGATAAAGAGCCTGGATCATATCCTCTCTCCCACACCTAGGGAGGGCCACACTGTGAGGCA